GATGTCACTTGTCCTGTGTTTGGACATTGCACACAGCAACATTTTCAGAAACAAGAATCTGTATACAAATGAGCAGAACCTTTCCCTTCTTCCTCACTGCTCAGCCTGTGCAAGTGGCAAGCCTTGGGTTTAAGTCCAGCTCTGTGCTGTGTGTGCACTTTGGACACAGCAGTTATCTTATCTTACACAGGGATAATGATATCTCTTTTGCAGCACTGTGGGAGGGTTAGATCAGACAACTGTGGTGAAAGCATTCTCTATCTAGCACAAAGTCCTCAAAATGTAGAAGTGCATTTATCATAATGAATAATGACATCATGTTCAAGCAAACAGCACCAAAATGAATGCATTATTGCATTCCCAAGCTATACAAATGCATTTGTAAATAATCAGATGATACACGTTTATTAGTGCATCCATTTATTTACTCATTGACTTCATACTTCCTGTCTGTAGATCATTAGTCCCTGGGGGATGGAGATAGTACATGAAGAGAAGCAGGCTAGATTAAAATAGAACAAGGGGTGCTGGCAGGATGTAAAGATGCTTGCTACCCAGCCTGGTGACCCAAGTTTGATCCCTGGGCCCCTCAACAGGCTTCCATAAATCTGACCTACACACACACACACACACACACACACACACACACACACACACACACACAGAGTAATAAGTAGAGTGGGAGCTTGTGGATCAAATCTGATCCTAGGACTCAGTTTCTTGGAGGACAAATACAGAATAGGAAAACTCCCCCTTCTTCAGTGGAGAGACTCATGGTTATAAGGGGGCAGATGGGCTTAAGTCTGATGCTCCTTTCCTACTTGGGTAATGGGAACTGATTAGATGCAGATTTGTTTTCCCAGGCTCACCTTCTAGAATTTTCATGGGTTTGTTTTCTGTTTGACAGCTCTAAAGCATCTTTTGTTAAGGCTCCAGGTGTCCTAAATGCTCTGAATAAATTCTATAGCACCTTGGACTGAGCCCATTTAGTCATTCAAAATCGGATGAGTAGACTTAGATTATAGACACCCAGGCTTGTACAGTGGTTGTTTCCAGAGCCTGTCCAACACAGCACTGGAGGGAGAATGGCCTTCCTTCCTACATTCCTTCCTTCCTTCTTTCTTTCTTTCCTTTCCCTTCTTTCCCTCCTTTCTTCCTCCTCCTTCCCTCATTCCCTTCCCTTTCCTTTCCTTCCTTTCCTTTGCTTCTTTCTTGACAGAGTCTTATATGGCCCAGACTGTTCTTCAACTTCTGATCCTCCTTCCTCCCTCTCCCTAGAGTTAAGATTATAGTCATATTCCGCCATGTCCAGTTTGCTCACTGCTGGGCCTTGAACCCAGAATGTTGCGTAAACTAGGAAGGCATTTTACTAACTGAGCTATATCCCAAGTCCCTTTCCCAGATGACAAGATAAAATTGTACTGCTGGGTCACCCTTGAACATTTTCTTTTGAAATCATAGTAGAAACAGAAGCTGACTTAGCATGGCTATGTGCGAGTCTGTTGAGATGACACACAAAATGCTTTCTTAGCAGCTAATTGAGGGCATGAGTCTATTTGCCAGTCTATTCCAAACTTGCTTTTAATGAACACAAAGTAAAATCTAGTGGAAGCTTGCTCCTGCATTGAATGACTGGGTAGATACTAGAATTTTTCCTCATAATTTAAGTCTTATTCTTTGAGCTCTCTCACTTGTCTCAGAAAAACAGTGACAATGAACAGAAGTTTCCTCTCTTATTGAGTGTCCCTACCCCAACTGTTTCCTCTTCTGGGAGGCTTTTGGGTCAGAGGAGACAAGGTTGCATGGATTTGGCAATCCAAAGAGACAGAGCAGGGATAAAGGTCAGGGTTCCTGCTTGTAGGAACTTGTGCCAGGGGCTTCCCTCTGAGCCTCAGTAAGTCACTGCTTGACCTGCTTTGGGTTTCTCTGTGTCTGTGACATTGATTTGTTTCAAGAACTCTTGCTGGACAAGCCACCTGGTGTGTATTTTTCCTCTTTATGGTGGAAAGACTTTCATACTTACGTGGCATTCAAGTGTATATTTCACAATCTAGTACAGATAGATCTCTCTGAGGACAGTTCTCTCCCTCTCCCTGGTTTTGTAGGAGGTAACTATGGTCCCCTTTTGACAAGATTCGGCCAAGGCCTAGGGCCTGTGCCCTTGTCACTCCTGGCTTTGTAAACAGTGCTTGTTTATTTACATTGCTGATAACTCTTTTTCTCATAGGTAGTTCTTTTCCCTTTTTTTTTTTTTTTTAGTTTTTTTTTTTAAAGTTTTTTTGCGACAGGATCTCTTGTAGTTCAGATTGACCTGGACCTTGCTGCTATTTAACCAAGAATGACCTTGAACTTCTGATCCTTTTGTCTTCACCTCCCAGAGTGATGGAGTTATAAGTGTGCAGGACCACAGTCAGGACTGTGCCTCCATGTGTGCTAGGCAGGCACTCCATTACCTGAGCTACAAATTACTTTCTTTAAAAAGCTATATTTTTAAAAGCTAACTAGAGTCACAGATGTACAGTCACTTAAAGGTTTCCCAAAAACTTCCGAGTCTTTTTAGGGCATGCATTTCTCTCAAATGAACACTATCATAAATTAGCAATTTCATACTAAATCTCATAATCCCAAGATTGAGGTTCTCCTGAAACCAACATAACAATGATAACCAGCAGCTGGTTAAGTCTCAAAATTTAAAAGTAGTTTTCTAGGCAGAGGAGGGAATCAGGAATTAAGGGCTATCCTTAGCTACATAGTAAATTCTAGGTCAGCCTAGGCTGTGTAAGATACTGTCTCAAAAACTCCACCAAAAAAAAGTTTTTTCTTTGAGACAGGTTTCTCTGTGTAGCCCTGGCTGTGTTGGAATTCATTCGTAGACCAGGATGACCTCAAACCCAGAGAACCTCCTATGCTACCACTGCCAGGCTAAAAGGTATTTGCAGACTCCAAGGGGCAATTGAAGTCACAGGGCTTGCTCAACTTGCTTTTCTCTGAGAGTCACAGGATCTGGCCAAGACTTGGAGGCCATGACTACACAGGAGTGGGCATCGAGGATAGGTAGCAAGGCCATTTGGCTGACCATCTAGGATTTCCATAGGGTCTTCCCTTCTGAGAAGTCCTTGAACAAGACTAGAGACTCAGGCAAAGTCTCTGCTCAGGTATGCCAAAGGCCTGCCTGACTCTGCTTTCCCCAGGTGAAAGCTGACAACTGTCCCAGGAACCATTCTGAACTGTTGTTTTTGACATTGGAAGTTGGTCTGTAAATAGCACCTTAGTTCAGATGTTGCAAAAATGAACTAAAAAATATTTTTAGGGAAAGAATCCACGGAGCCGAACCAACCAGATGTTGAAAGCACGCTAGTTTTTCAACCTTTCACCCTTCATCATTTGGGCCAGAAAGGGATTAAAGCTGCAGAGGCTGAGGCTACATGGAAAGTGGAGCCTGAGATCTCAGACAGCTGTCACTGTGCTGTTAAGGCTGCTTATGGTGGAGGGGACAGGGACAGTCTCTTGCAGATCTTGACATAGGTCCCTGAATTTGGAGGACAGTTAATTAAGAAGGACAGAACTCAACCTTGAGCACTCAGACATGAGCTGCCCACATGCAGTGCAGAACCGTGCTCCAGGAAGTGGCTGCAAGGGTTACCTCAGGGCAGAGTGGCAGGCTTCCAGCCCAGTATATCCTAGTAGAGGAAGGAGCTCCCTCTGTTAGCTAGAACAATAGAAAGGCTTCTGGAGAGAAAGGCTGGAGGTGAACATTCGCAGAGGTCTTCTTCATGACCAATTTGAACACATTAATTTGCAAACTTGCATCCCCAGAATGGCAGATGGAAATCTACAGAAGTGAGTGGTCTCAAAGGAACCCATGATAGACCTCATGAAAGAAAGGAGGGACTTTGTAAATGAATCAGTCAAAACAGTGCCATTGACACCTGCCAGTAAGAATTTCCGGGTCTCTTGTCTCCTTCTTTCCAGAGATGTCTTTACTAATTGAACAGGGCAAAGAGGCAGAATTGGGAAGGAAAGAACTAAACTAGCCTTGAGAAGGCCCAGCAGGTGAGGTACTCACAAGGACCCAAGTCTGTAATCCCAGGATAAGGGAGGGGATGGGGCAGACATGAATGGATCCTTGGAGCTCACTTGCCAGTCAGTCTAGCCGAAATGTCAGGCTCCAAGTTCAGTGAGAGACTGTCTCTGGAAAAACAAAACTCAACAATGTGGAGAATCAATGGAGGAAGACATAATTGATGTCAAACTGTGGCCTCTGCTTGCGTTCTCAGTGCTTCTACACACACACACACACAGCCGCACACGCACGTGACGGGGGTGGGTGTGCTCTAGAAGCTAGATAGGGTTGCTCGTGGCTGAGTACCAATATTCCAGAAGCCAAGGCAGGAGGATTTCCATGAATTGCAGGCCATCCTGGGCTACACAGTGAGTACCAGCCCAGTCAGGCCTACTAGCAAGATCCAGTCAGCCCAAAGCCTTTTCTCTTTGGGGTGCCCCTGGAAGCTCTCCTGTCTGATGCTTTGGAAGGAGTTCTGAGTTTACTTGATCCCAGATTTATCAGATTAACACTGAGGCAGAGCTGCCTGGAGGGACACAGCCAGCATGGAGTTTTGGAGCTTTCCTTTCCCTTTGGACCTAACAGGGACCAGACAAGGAGGTCTCTAAACCCAAAGGGGAATCACAGTCTCAGAGAACAGGCACGGAATGAAGGAAGTGGTTTTAGGGTGTGCTTCATGGGTCCTATGTCTATACATAGTTTTTCTTTGTCCCAAATGAGTTGGTTTGAAGAAGTGTTCCTTAACTGCAAAAGCACAGAGTCATCCCAGTTCTGTGGTGTTAACAGTCTCTTCAGACACCAGCTTCAGTGCCAGTAATTAGAATGAGAAGACAAAACAATGAATGCTTTTTTTCCCCTTCTCACTGCTGTGTCTGTAGTTACTTAGATCTTAAGGTGTGAGATTTGAAGAAACAAAACTCTTTCCTCTTTCACAAAGCTATGGCAGACTTTGACCCAGCCACCCCCATCTGATAAAGCTCACATTGAGATTATGAGAAGAGAAGAGGAAATAAGGACAGAAGGTGGAGGAGGTGGCGAAAGAGAGGTTGAGGAACAGAAAATGAAAGAGGAAGCGGAGGAGAGGTTACCGTGGGCACAGAGCAGCCTTCATGATCGTCAGGTAAGAATTCAAAGGGGTGGCCTCTGCACCCATATCTCTTGAATAAGACAGGAGGACCAAGCCCCTAGCTCTGTGACTTAAGGCACCAGGCTCACCTGTAGCTCAAGTGTGACTTGGGTGGGGAATCTTTTTATAGTATGATTCATTTTCTACCAAGGCATTTCTCTCTCTCTCTCTCTCTCTCTCTCTCTCTCTCTCTCTCTCTCTCTCTCTCTCTCTCTCTCTGTGTGTTTGTAAGCCAAAAATTGATGGTGAGCATCTTCCTCTGTTTTCACCTTATTTATGAGACAGTGTCTTTCACTAAATCTGGGTTCATCAAGTAGCCTAGACTAGCTGGTCAGCAAGCCCCCGGGATCCTTCAGTCCCCAACCCAGCAATGGGGTTACAGTTGCATGCCACTGAGCACTGTAGGTCCTGGCATTCAAACTCAGGTTCCCATGCTTGTGCAACAAGCGTTACCCACCAAGCTACCTTTCTATTCCTAAAACAGGCTTTTTGATTTTTGTGTGTGTGTGTGTGTGTGTGTGTGTGTGTGTGTGTGTGTGTGTGTGTGTGTGTGTTCTGAGATAGCCTCTCAATGCATTGCCTTGACTGGCCTAAAGTTCACTTTTTTTTTTACAACAACCCCCCCCAACAAAACAAAACAAAACAAAAAAATTAAAACCAAAAAATTTAAAAAAACAACAAAAACAAAACAAGGGACCACGTAGTTTGAGGGTAGTTTCTGATCCTCCTGCCTTTTCTTCCTGAGTGCTGAGGTTACAGGGCTATGCTATCTGATCTGTTTTGTGAGGAGTTAGGGATGGAACCCAGGGCTTCATGATAACTCTGAAAGTATCTAGCATTTACTTGGTTTACATTCCTAACCCCATGACACTTAGATCATAGAAATATGGGAAATTTAAATACACACACTATCAGGAGGTATGACTGTGTTGGAGGAGGTGGGGTCTTATTGGAGGAAGTGTGTCTTATTCTCTTCCTGCTAACTGCCAATTGCCTGCATGCTGCCATACTTCCCTCCATGATGATAATGGACTAAACGTCTGAACTATAAGCCAGCCCCAATTAAATGTTTCCCTTTATAAGAGTTGCCATAGTCATGATCTCTTCACAGCAATAGAATACTAACTAAGACACATACCAAGTCTTTCGAGTGTGCATATGAAGTGACTCTAAGTCCTCATATCCTACCAGCAGACATGATCAACTCCAGTTACAAATCTACTAGTGGGCCAGTTAATCAAATCAAGAAACTGTCTTAAATTGAGGACGATGGCTCATACCTGCCTGTAATTCCAGCATTAGAAACTGAGGGAGGAGGGTTGTGATATCTAAGCTAGGAGCAAGACTCTGTTTTAAAAAACAAAAACTCAAACAAACCAACAAACCAAGATAAATAGGATGCTCCAAGTAGAGACTTTATCAGGTCCAACATTTCTCAAAGTATATTTCCTAGGCTGGTGGGCTCATCAAATGCTTGACACACTGAGGACATGTAGAGTATCACAAAGTAAGATGTTCAAGGCTCTGAGAATTCCCCCCATGAAACAAGGACTATTTGTTTCAGTGTTAACCAGGCAAACCTGGCCCTTTAAAAAAATTACATGTGTTCTTTCATTTTGTGTATACATGTGCTCCAGGATTGAACTCAGGTTGCTAGATTTTTGTGATAAGCAGCTTTACTCTCTGAACTATGTCTTCTTCAATGGGCTCTTTTTACATGCAACTTTTCTTTAGCACTCTGCCTCAGAGTGTGTGGAGTATACCAAGGCATCCTTTTAGTGGATGATGTTATTGATCCAATGTTACCAGTTTTTCATTCACTAGAGCCCCATTTTCCCCTAGTAAACAAACCATAGTTTCTGTACAGTGAAATCAAACCAAGTTATATAAGCATATCAAAGTATAGGAGAAATTACTGCTAAAGATTCCTTAATTTTGACTATCAAGCAGTTCTCATATGCATATCCATCTGCCAAGTGAGTTTTCTCAAATGCCTATAGCTGTTGCACCCTTCCCCCATAGGGTTCTGTTGACCTGCTTGTGACTAGGAGCTTCTAGCAAAACACTTCTCCTAGTAAGTGCCTTCCTCCTAGTAAGGCCAGCATGCAAGTTCCTGTTTTCTGTCCATCCTTATTGTCTAAATGCTAATTCGTGTTTTTGGCCCACCCTTTGCCGGAGGGCCCTGGGATAGTAGGCTTCAGACCTTGGTGTTTTTCCACCATGCCTGCCACTGGTACATAAGGCTCCACTCTTGTTAAAATAAACGCCATTCTCTTTGTCTTCATTTATATCCTTAGCCCTTCACTTGGATCCTTGTGAAGTGTAACGCTGTAACCACCAACACCTGGCTCCCTACATGTAGCAACACTAGCAGCCAATCAGAACTTAGTAATGTGACTTAGTTGCCAGACTGAGTTCATCTGATTCAAGTCTCAAAGAAATATGATGGCACAATTAATTTGTGTTAATGGACACATGAGGTATGTCCAATTGCCTCTAATGTTTGGTGACTCTAAACTCCTGTGAGTACAGGCATTATATTTGGATGAAACATATAAGCTGTTCATTAAAAGCTATTATTCTGTTTCTGCAGCATTCTGTTTTTTCTTTATTAACATGCAGTAATGATTTTTGTTGTGACATTTCCATACATGTACATAATTTGCATGTTGTTTTGTACTTAAGGGTCCATGAATCTAAGTATTAATTTCATAATATATAAAGCCCTTGGGATCACAGAGAGAATGTATTGTGAAAAGTTTGAAAAAAATCAGGCTGGAGATGTAATTTAGTTGGCTTAGTGCTTGTCTAGCATGCATGCTACCATGGCTTCAGTCCCAATCTTGTAGAAAGTGGTATCTTATTCCTGTAATCCCAATACTTGTAAGGCAGAGGCAGGAAGGTCATGAGTTCAAGGTTATCCTTAGCTGCAAAGTAAGCTTGAGGCCAGACTGAGCTTTATGAGACTCAGTCTTAGAATATTTTTTTATAAGAAAATGATAAAGTATGACAAATCTGGTAGTCTTTAAGGAGATGTTTTTATTCCCAGTTAAAGATGTCAGAAGAATCATACCTATGAATTCCACTTTTAAAATGACGGAGAGGTTCTATGTTAACGGTATCATTTAATTCTCTGCACACAATCTGAGCATTGAAGAATGTCGCATTATATAATCCCCAGGATTTATCTCCCTCCTCCTCCCTTCTTTTCTCAGATGTTAGAGACCTACTGTTAACCAACCTATGTGAAAATGGCAATTATTGGTAAGAGACTCCAAACATGAGTACTTTGTTTTGTTTCATGGACTTGCGTGAAACACTGACTAGTGAGATCCAGGAAGAGCAGAGACATCACTGGGTCTTGAGTGCTGACAGCAGAGAATGGGAGGGAGCATCACTAGCATTCTTCTCCAACTCCTCTTCCTCCTATGTTGGCTGAGTCCCTCACTGGTTTGGTATAAGTAGTGGAAGACACAGTTAGCAGAAATACTTGAGTGTATATGGGAGTGTAGAGCCATTTGAAATATTTCAGCTCAGTCTTTCTGGCTGTGAGCCATCAAGAAGAGTATGGCCTAATTTAATCCAGTCCAGAGATGGTCTGTGGCTGTCTCTACAGGAGTCATGGGGCACAGCCCTAACAGTGGATGAGCAGGCTGCTCCTATAGTGAAGGAGGGGCCTGGGAGAGTAAGGATGGATGACTTTGTACCCATCCGTATTGTGACAAGGATCACTATTAGTGGAAACCCTATGAGTCTTTGTCTTCCAAGTGGCCACATCTTCCCCAGCTTGACCTAGCAAAACATAAACCCTGGTATGTTCAGGCCTGAAGTACAGACACATGGCAGACATGTCCTCTTCACCTCCCATGTTAAATGAGACTAGTGAGGGAGCAACTAAGAGGAAAGAACTCATGACCAGAGAAAGGCATCAGTCAAGACTGCTCCCTTACATAACAATGGATAGTGAGATAGATAAAGGCTTAGGGTTTGGGTTAGAATGTCCAACTGCCTACTATGTTAACCTCCCTGTCTGCACATGTCACAATCTGGAGGAAAGGGGAGTGGAGAAAATGTGGGAAAGAAAAGACGCAGATCTAGGAATTAAAATGAGTCTTTGCTTTTTAGGCAAGTATATAGGGTGGAGCAGGCCTCCTGGATATCGTACTATGTTTGTTAGGGGCCTGGTGACTAATGTGGTTTGAATTTTCTCATTTATTGTTACTTCCCATACTACTATTCAAGGGCATATTTCAATCCACGTAAGGGAACTTTCCCTGCACCCATCTCTTGAAACTCTGCTTTCATAGTAAGAGCCCAACATTCGTGTCTAGTTTTGATAGTGTAGACTAACAAGATGGGTAAGGGAAAGAGAAAAGCCCCCCTTTGTGGTTAATGGTGTTAGAGACTGCAGGAGGCTGTGGCAGGTGTTTAGAAACCATCATGAGTCATTCTGTATGACTTGGCTAGGCTGTGGTGCTAAATATTCAATCAAACATTATTTTAGATGTTTGTGTAACAGCATCTTTGGGTGAGCTTAACATATAAATCATGGATCTGGAATACAATGAAATTATTTTCTATGGCATGAGGGGTCCCATCTAATCAGTTGAAGGTAATACTGAAAACTGGTGTTGATCCAACAGGTTTGGACATACCAAGCCTTCATAATTGAATGTCATAGTTCCTTAATTCTAATATATTTCTCCAACCCCTATGTGTAGGAAGCTCTGTTGCCTAATCTGGAAGCCCTTTCTACACTCAACCATAATAAATAGATTGCTTCAAGAGTTATGAAATAATGGAAACCATTGCTGTGCAGGGTTGTATGCACACACACGAAAAAAACCACAACAAAACCAAAAATCAAATGCCCAGATACCAGTGGCTATTTATTATTTAGCCCCCTACCCCCTTTAAAACAGGGTCTCAAGTCAACTAGGTTGCCTTTGAAGTTTCTGTGTAGCTTAGGATGACCTTAAACTACATATCTTCTT